AAGCCTAAGCCATTGACTAATTGAAGACCAATGCAACACCTATCAGATTTCATACACATGCGGCTCAAGAGCAAGGTAGCCGGCTCGGGCGGAGATTGATAAAACAAGGCTCCATACAGGATCAAAAATGGTTCAGCTTGTCAGGAAGGTTACTCTTGTTCAAATTTAGGGTTTCTAATAGAGAGCAACAATGAAGTTATAGTTTTTGTGTACCATACCTCTCTTTCAGATTTAGGGTTTCTGACCATATGGTTGATGAGGACCCAAGTATGGTCGTATCACATCACTAGGATTTTGAAAAAGTTCAAAGGTCCCCAGCTATGATACCAAGTTGAAAAATACAAGTGACAAAGAAAAGTGAAAGAGATTGAGTCAGAGGGAGTGAGAGTTTTAGACATGGAAGAGTGGGAGAGAGGAAGAGACATCCATGTTGAGGGAAGAATGGGAAGAACAAGGGAAGAAGAGAACGAGAAAGATGGACACGGGGGTGTCTTATGGACATCCACGCCCCATTTAAACTTGTATATATTATCAACGATATGTTTAAGGACAATGTTGTCCTTTATAAAAGGGAAAAAGAAAATTTGTCCTTATAAAAGGAGAAAAGACAAATAAGCCCTAAGAAATTAAATATAAGAGAAAATAAATATAAACTTTGATATTCACAACAGCTATCACCAGATCCATATTTGAGACGGGGATAAATGGAAGATGGCCTTTAAAACAAATAACTGCTTGTGCTAGTGGATGGTATTGCAATTCAGGTTGTCCAGTGAACCCAGAACTTTATGCACTTGATGAAGCTAAGGGGAGGATGAAACATGCACCTATCTTTGCTTGCCTGATTTCTCTCAAGTATTCCAGTTAGAGTGTGATGCTTCTCATGTGGGTATTGGAGCAGTGTTTGAGTCAAGAGTAAAGGCCCGTCGCATTTTTCAGCGAAAAGCTCCAGGATGTAAAGCGGCAGTGTCATATAAGCACCACACCATTGGTGACATTACCTAATTCAGCAAGCCGCTAAGCATGATGCACTCACACATTAATAGTAAAAAGAAGCTGAGTGCAAGACATGCGACATGAGCGGCTTATTTACAAGAATTCACATCCTCTATAAGGCATCCGTTCAGAGAGTGAAACAAGAATGGCCAATGCCCTTAGTTGCTGTACCATTTGGCAAGGACGTCGGCTTTTCGAAGTAGTGGGCCTTAAAGCAGTGTGTGACACCTGTCTGGATGATATTTTTTTCAGGGGTATATTAGAGAGGTTTAGAATCTTTAGATCTAGCAAAAGTAATTCCTATAACCAATTCAGTTTGTCTGATGGTCATTAGTTTTATGGTGCCCAGTCTATGCATACGTAATACTTCTTTCTAGAAACATCAAATTGATGATTTACATTCAGGAGATCTTGCCAGACATTTTGGAAGAGACAAGACTTTCTCATCGATGGAGCAAAGATATTCTTGGCCTTCTATGTGAAGATATGTGCATTGATATATCGATTTAATAGTTGTTGGGAACAGGAACAGGAACGAATCTGGTTCAGGGGCGGGATAGATGGATTGAGGCCCCTTGGAAGTTCCTTATGATAGGAATCGACGTCAGTACAATGCCAAATCTAACGAACTCGATCCCTGTGTTCCAGGGATCGCGCTCCCAATTAGAGTTCCCCAATTAGGTAGGATTAGTACCATAGCCTAGTCACTACGAGCTCCTTATATAGGTTCTTAATGATATCTTACACATTGTATAGTTCTCTAGCATGTGCGCTTATGGTATTGCATACTAATACAGATGGCTATTTACATAGGATTTATCATCAGAAAAAACTGATTGAGGGGGCTGGAATTCAATGTCTTAACATTATTAAATCTCAGGAACTCAATCGCTGTCTTCCAGAGATCAAGATCCGAAATTCTAAAAAGCAAGATCCATAGAAGATCCCTTTCTGAGATCTTAGGATCGAGCCCCCCAATGAATCGCCTACCAAAGTAGGAGATCCAGGTGCCTAAAGTCGATTGGTGAATGAAGTACCAAATGGTAATGGAGAATTCCCAAAACTAAATTATAAACTCTGTTGCCATGTTCCAACCAAGCCATGAATTGATCTGCTGATGGATTTTATTCCGGGACTGCCAAGAACAGCAAGAGTTCATGATTCAATTATGGTAGTTGTGGATACATTATCTAAAATGACACACTTTATAGCATGTAAGTGGAGCACAAATGACGATATGGTTGCTGATCTTCTTTAAAGATATATTACAATTGCATGGATTCCCCAAAACCATTATTTCAGACCATGATACCAAGTTCCTAAGCCACTTTGGGAGGACATTGTGGGGAAAAACGGGTATCAAGTTGCAATTCACTAGTGCTTATCACCCACAAATTAATGGTCAAACTTGGGTAATCAATAGTAGTGTGGGTAATATGCTAAGGAATTCAAGATGTGGGACTTTGTTTGTACTTCCACGGGCTTAGTTCACTTAAACAATTCTCCAAATCAATCAACTAGGAAGACGCCTTTTGCCTTGGTTTATGGTATGTCCCTTCACATTTTCATGATTCAGTTGCTCTGCCTGTTTATGAAACTGTTGAAGTAGATGATCCAAGCATGACTGAGTACATAAAGGAGTTACATGAGAAAGTTCGTAGAAAGTTGGAAAGAGCTACCACAAGAACCAAGAAGTCATGAATTGATATCGATGTGTGCAAGTGGTTGAAGTTGGTGATATCGTGATGATATATATCAAACCGGCGTACTTTCATGTTGGCACCTATGGCAAGCTAAAAGTGTGAAGAAGTTTGGATCTTGCAAAAATCAAGAAGATAGATGACAATGCCTATGAGGTGGAATGGCCAAGTGGATGGAGTATCTCCTCAGTCTTCAAAGCGCAAGAAGTGCTCAAGTATCATGGTGAATGCAACCTGAAGGAGTAGACCGGGAGGAGGATGCAAATTGCATCAACAGAGCTGAATCCTAGAATGAGGACATGGTCAGGTTTGCTTTATTTAGAAGGTTGTCTTGGAAATTTATCATGTTTGTGGTCTTTTTCTTTTTCTTTTCTTTTTTTTTTCTTTTTTTTTTTGGGTAATAGGTTGTTAAGCGGACTAACTGGGTTTTCATGAAATATGGGAGGTATAAGTGTAGAGTCAAAGTGGGTTAATGAGCTTTTGAGTTGCCATCAATCAATGATGTGGAGTTGCTATCCATGGGACCTTGGAGGCATGCATGAGAATTTGGAATAATGTATTGAAAGTTGGATGAATGAAGTAATGCATTATGACTAAGGCTGTGTGGGAAATTGGAAAACTAAGATTTTCAACCTTTTTTTTTCTTTTGTTTGGAGGGCAGTTCGGTCATTATTCCAGCCACTGTTGGGCAAGGGAGAGCTCTATATCTCACTTCTGTTGTAATAAAAGTAGTTAACGAATGTAGTTGAGGTGCGGCCCCTAACGTAACCATTGGCAACGTTAGGTTGGAGGAAGCTTCCTCCCTTCCTTCAACAGAGATTGAACTAGTTTGATCGGTTGAAAAGGACCCTATTCTCTCCCCCTCTCTTGTTGGTGATCAAGAAAGCTCGAAGTGATTCTTCTTACTCGTTGACTGCGCGATCGTTTCATGATTGACTATCTCGTGGTTGTTGAATCGGCCTTGGATCTTTCCTATCCGGGCTCCTGATTTGCACCAAACCAAAACCAGTGTGGTTACTGAATCGATCTTGGATCTTTCCAATCAAGGCTCCAGTCTTGCACCAAATTATCTTAGCCATATTTGGCAACATATTATGGAATAGCTTTGAGGAAGATCATATTATAAAATAACAAAAAGGAAGATCATATAACTGAATTAGTGGTCCATATTCTTGGGCCCTGGCCAAGGCAATTTACTCTAGCGAGTCCGAGTAACTCACCTGAATCCAACTCTTTTTCTTTTTAAAAGAGCATGGAGATAACACAATATTTATAAATAACATTAGCACCACTTTTATGCACTAAATAGTAAAATGGCATGCCGGTTAGCTTCCCGTGTGTAAATGGACCACCTCGCAAGAAGTCCTGTGTACCATTCCTATGGGGGTTATATTTTTTTAGAACTCAAAAAATAATGACACTTTTTAAAAATTGTTCTACAGTTGCGAGATTCGAACCATGATGGCTGACGGGGTTAAAATTTATTCCGCAGCACTAACCAGAAAGACTTCTTTGCACGTTTGTCTTAAAGTTGACATATTTAAATAATTGAACCAAAAATATCATTGTACAATCTACTCGCCCAAAACTCGCCTAGCCCATAGGGCAAGGCCGAGTTACTCGGCCGAGCCCGAGTGACCTCAGCCAATTCTTAGAACACAGGTGATAGGTGGTGTCTAAGCAATATGTTACCTATACATGAAAATTCAGATAGAGAAGATCTGAGCAGAAAATGCTAGAATTTCATTGTGCATAAGAGTTTAAAGATATTACTATTTTCTACAAATATATGCCAAGGGCATGCATATAGAATTGGTTGATGGTTGAGAGACAACTTCTTGTTAGCACATGAATATGTCTGGAGAAAGCAAATAGATTTTCTCAACGATATACAATTTCCTTTAAAAATTTTACATTTTCTTCCTATTTACTTTTCCAGGGGTTGATAAAGAAGAAGATTAAGACTTGAGTCCCATGTGATGAGGGAATACAGGTCTACAGCATTAGGCCACTAAACCTTAAATCTGAATGCTAATAAAGAAATATGCATGCCTACGCATCTCAGTGAGTGCATGTGCAGGTGGCAGGTGGGAAAAAGAAAGATAAACATTTGTTGTCCATGTGAATGTGAATGTTTGCAAAGAACTTTGAAACAGGTTTTACGAACGAAATCCACAATGTTGGCCATTAGACATATTTCACACAAATTTCCAGTTTTTTAGTTCAAGTTCTAAAACTGCAATCATAAAGCACCGACAAATAATAGAAAGAAAAAAAAAAGCCAGCAGAAATAGTCAAGTTTACCTCTTCATCAAGCCAATGCATGCGAGGAACAAATCCCACCATCGTGTTTGAAGCACTTTGCCACACAGAAAATGCAAACTCCATGGTAGAACAGGGAACAATCACATCATCATCAACAGAGAAAATTGCTTCTGTTCTCAGGTCCGCAATAGGCTTAAACCGATTATTAACATAGTCTTCCTCATTTAAATCAAACCTGAAGTTAGGTTTATGGGCACTTTGAGACTTTGACAAAACAATCTTTTTAAGATAAGCTATGAGACTCTCTGATGGAGGATCACTTTCACTCCACACTACATGTACTGCATCAGTTCCACTACAGGATGCATAATGAGCCACAGCTTGCTTCAAAAGAGGGTTACGCTGCCATGTGTTGATCAGAACTGTATATCCAGCCCTAGGGACAGATAAAGGAACTTCATATGAGAATCTTAGTTATTTCATAGGTTAAATATCCAAGAAAACAATAATCATCAGTGAGAAATGGTAAGATATTAGACGACTTCTTCATTCCCATTCTACATCAACAAAATTAAAGTATAGGTGTATGAATGTCAGAAAACTAACAAGGCCGGGAACTTATGCAGAAAAGAAAAGTGAGGAAGCCATCAGAGATCAAATGAGATAGATGCTCTAACAAAGATATAATGCTCTAAGAAGAGATTTTGGCATCCTTAAATGGCCATAGATTGTTTCATTCTTGTTTGTAATGAAATGAGATCAATCCATTATTTGAGGAATTTTATTTGGCTGTTTAAATATATTTCTTTCATCTGTTCTGCCTTAGAAGTATGTGAAACATGGCTTCTATACGATGGTGCTCATCAGCTATCTATCTTGGCAGGCATTGTGAAAAATAATAAACTGCTACAAAGTAAAGGGGATGAATTGTTATAACATGAAAATTGGGGGAGCTCTCGAATTTCTATGGGGGGGGGTCAATCTTAGAAAGTGTAGAAATCCATGAAAGAATTATGGTCATTGTCGATGGAAAGGTGCCAGGTTAGCCTCGAATTCAGCAAGGTTTAAAGGAGAAATCGGCATTGCATAGTAGAATTTTAATATTTAGAAAATGACTGGATGGCATAGATAATAATAGAAACAGAGTATTATCTCTCTTGCCCCTGCATCAGTCCAAGAACAGGTAGTGTCATGGACCAGAAGTTGGGACAATTTTCTGTACAATAAGGAAAGAATGTTACGATTATAAGAAGATATTGGACAGATAGAGAGGTTGAACAAGAAATTAAGCATTGTAACTACAGGAAACATTGTCACACCCCCAAGTTTTATAACACTAAAATTCCTAAGATGTGACAGTTTATTTTTAAGGAACAAAACAAATACGAAATTTTTACTATGTATTATTGCTCCAAAACAAATTTTCCATTCACAAGCTTTCAGGCTTGTACAAAGTCTAATTCACAGCTTATAATAACATGAGGATTTATATATATACAACTTTGATAGAACAAAAGCTACAAAAGCGAATTTATCCATGGCTACAAACTTCTTCCAAACTACTCCAGCTGCACATACGAACAATACGGCTACGACTACTCTGAAAAATTTCACAATAGCTTGATGAGTTTGGCTACTCAGTAAGCGACCATCATTATCCTTACAAATCATGGTTAGAAAGTATAAATATTTTCTAAAAGAATGTATATTAAGCAGAATTTCGACGTATTGATTTTATGCATTCTAATACATGCTATTAAACAGATTCATTTCTAATCTTACATATATCCTGCATTCCTTATTAGACAAAGCAAATAAGCATGATACATAAAACATATGCACACGATTCATATCAAGATCAACATTAAGTATCAGATATAACCAAACAAGCATTCACAATAACAGAAATCCTGCAGTAGAAGCACTAACCACGGGTTCGAGGTTAGAACTTCTACCATCCCGCAGGAAGAAGCACCACCAACTGGTAAATCCGTTGCATAGTGCCTCATATACGCACACATCCCCAGCGCGCTTTGGGGCTTTTGATAGGCGATGGCCTTGCAAGACATTACTCTCTACGCCACCTTGGCTAGGAGTTTGCACCGTCTGGGTGTCAATAACTATGAATGGGGGAGCGACCACCCAAACATCTCCTGCCTCTACTCCCTTCCTATCATGGGGAATCAAGGAGGTCACACTTGCCAGCATCAAATCATAACAGAGGCATGTCTCCATGCACATCGAAAGCATGTTACCATGCACACAAATCTTATCAGAAGCATGTTACCATGCACACATCTTATCAGAAGCATGTTGCCATGCACACATATCTTATTAGAAGCATGCTGTCAATTGCGGGCCATATATCAATGTAGTAAATATCATGAAACAATAATATCGTATTTTCAAAATATCCTTGAAACTATTAACGTAAATTTACATGAAACAATTTATAGAAATCACTTGCACACAACATTTACACACAACACTTACAAGAACACTTGCACATAATGCTTGCACACAACACTTGCACAAAACACTTGCACATAACACTTACAGTATTTAAAATTTATGCTGGAAATATTACAAATAAATATAAAAATACGTAAAAATTACAGTATCGAAAATATTACAATTAAATCCATAAATATCTCTGGGATTGTTACAGAATCTCAGTTTTTCAAATAATGAATTTACAGAAGTCACTTACACATAAAACTTACGGTATCTAAAATTCATAACAATAAACGGAAACATTACGATTTTATTGAAAGCAAAAAGATCAATTTTCAAATAACTACTTTACAAGAAAATGAGATCACTTACTTTCATGATGCCGATATACCCATGGGATGATCATCCGTGAACACAACCCTTTCAAGATGCTTTCCTGCTTTCCAATACGCATATGCCATTGTGAACTGATACATACCATTAACAAGAGGAGAAACATGGGATTGGTTGGGCCATCAATTATAGGCCTCTGTTCCATCTGTCCATTAATCTCCATCGCCACCTAAATGGGTTTCTATCAAACTTCTAAGTGCTCACCATTTAATGAGCTGCAAGGCTTACAATCTACTGCATTATAAGGTCAGATGATCGAAAGAGAGAGAGAGAGAATTCAAGGCCTAGAGAGAGAGAGAGAAACGTTTTGTTTTTTTAAAAAAAAAAGATAAGAGAGAGTGACTAGTGTAACACCTCATTTAAAAGGTGTCAATAAACAAATCAAATGGAGGGGTGATAAGATGTCACGTAAGAGGTAAGAGGTGGTAAGAACCAACCTCTTATAAAAGTTAGAAGCAAAAAGATGGTGGACCTAAGGTCTACTCAAATAAAATTAGACCATCCAAATATTTAACAAATTAGCTAATTGACTCCATAATACAAAATTAAGTGTATCATGTAAGTCATGTGTAATAATTTAAAATTAGTACACATAATATTGTAATGCTAAAATTTATTTTATTATTATTATTATTATTATTATTATTATTATTATTATTATTATTATTTTTCAGTTCCAAAATTTTTGGGCCACTACATTCTCCCCCCCTTAAAGAAATTTAGTTCTCTAAATTTTGTACCTGCCTGCTCTAAAAGATGGGGGTATTTCTCCTTAATACTGGGACCTCTTCTAGCTTGGACTGCACAGCCCGATTTTCGACCACATAGGCTAAATACCCGATACATATTTTAGTCAGAAGACAATGATGTAGCTTCTACTACAGGATTTCTGTTGTTGTGGATGCTTGCTTGATTATATTTGATTCTTAATGTTGATCTTGATATGAATCGTGTGCATATGGTTTATGTATCATGCTTATTTGCTTTATCTAATAAGGAATACAGGATATGTGTAAGATTAGAAATGAATATGTCTAATAGCATGTATTACAATGCATAAAATCAATATGTCGAAATTCTGCTTAATATATATTTAGAAAGTATTTATACTTTCTAACCATGATTTTTAAGGATAATGATGGTCACTTACTGAGTAGCCAAACTCATCAAGTTATTGTGAAATTTTTCAGAATAATCGCAAACGTATTGTTCATATGTGCAGCAGGAGTAGTTTGGAAGAAGTTTGTAATCAAGGATAAATTCGCCTTTGTAGCTTTTGTTCTATCAAAGTTGTATATATATATATCCTCATGTTATTATAAGCTGTGAATTAAAATTTTTACAAGTCTGAAAGCTTGTGAATGGAAAATTTGTTTTGCAATATATATAGCAAAAATTTAGAATTTGTTTTGTTCCTTAAGAATAAACTGTCACATCTCAGGAATTTTAGTGTTATAAAACTTGGGGTGTGACAATCATGGTGGCAGAACTAGGCTAGGAAGGGCACAGATCGTAGAGTGGGGAAGAATGACGAAGGCAAAGGTGAGTGATGCTATATATTTTTTAAAATGTTTTTAATTTTTTTTATAACAGTTAAAATAAGCATGGTGAAAGCAGGGAAAACATGTTTTAGATGAAAATAACAAACTAAAATAAAATTAGATAGCCAGAACAGAGCAGACCTATCTGAGGCAAAATATATTTTTTATACTTTTAAAAAATTTATTTTGAGCCAAACTTTGGTGAAAAATCATCCCAAATGCTCTAGAACAGGTCTGTGGGTCCCAGAAGTTTTCTGGGACCTTAGCAGTTGGGCGATACGGGTAGTGTCACCTTTGCAGGGTGGGCGACACTGTTAGTGTCGCCCAAAACATATTTTGCTTTTTATTTTTTTTTATATATTTTTATCGTGTCAAAATTAATTGGCTAAAAGAAATTTCTCAAACTGACATGGATGTTGGGTAGGTTACACCATACAAAGATGGAAGTAAAGGGAACTTCAAACAGCTCACACACCTACAAAAACGGAATTGTTAACTGGGGTCAGAGGATCACAAAACACACCATTAACCACGATCATCGTGATTGGAAACAATGGCAGGTAACTAGTTGAGAGCATGGAAGGAGAAGAATGGGCGGGAGATGGGAGTTCGTACAGCTTACATGCAAATGGAGAGACATTACCAAAAGATTTGGGGATCACCCAAGTAAGAAGGGGAAAGAGTTAGTAAAGGATAAGATGGTGATGGTGATGAACGGCAACTACAGCAACATATACCATTGTTTCACACACTCTAGACAGCATAACGTACTTCTTATTCATTATTGTTGGAAGCAGGAGCGGGTTCAAGAGTGGGATCGGTTCGAGGAATGACAGTCATATGTTGGAAGCTCCCTGGGGTTAGATCGACATCAATGCATTCAACGAGTTAATGAGCTAGATCCTAGGATACCTAGGAGAGAGATCCCATGTCAATGGGATAGAGGTTTTGACTTGGAGGAATCAAAGCTCCACTTTACATAGAACGAGATCCATTAATAGTACATGATAAATTAAGATCAAGTCAATGCCCTCTTGATCTATTATCATATATCTTAGCTAATTACCAATGCCAAAGTTACAGTACTCCAATTTACTACAATAACGCAATTTACTAATATCAGAAATTAGCTTACTATGATATAATATTGTAGCTTTTTAATACCATAATTCTAGTATATCACGATGTGATATGCATCACAGTTTATTCTAAAGAAATAAATCTATAAAACCGAGGAGCAATAGTTGAATTACTAGTATAGCTCCTCTCTTTGGAGGATTCCTACAAGCATGTAGACCGAGATTCCATTTTATATAGCGTGAAATCCCTAGTTCTCTAAACCTAGCTCCCTCTAAGATCCCTTAAAGGAACCGCTGGATCGAGTTCCCAAGGTGGGACTGTGGCCTTACCCCCAAGGTTCCTGCAACTATGTTCTTACTCTTCAAAGATACTAAAAGGATTCAAGAAACAAGCAATTCCTGATAGGCTCACCTCTTAGTATATGAACATACATTGTACACTGGGCATGATGCTCAAAACCAAGAGGTAAATCCTAACAATTGAACAAGCATTTAAAAAAAAAAAAAAGTCCCAATTGAATAATAGGAACCGTGTCAAGTTGAAAGTCAAAGAGATAGATATAGATGTACCATGAATTACTTGTCCCTTGTGACAAGATTCACTCAATCAACCTCATAAGAAGACAACTTAATGTTCAATTTGGAAGGGTATTACCATCATGCTGTTTGCAAGATGGGTATCATGATAATATCTCTGACATTCTTACATTCAATGAGCAAGCAATTCCACTCTATCAAAGACCATACCTCAGTCAGACCAAGTATTGTATCTCTTCTCATTACTTCTATCCATGTCCTTCTGAGCCTTCCCCTTGCCCTTTTAGAGCCTGCCACTTAAACCAAATCACCCTTCCTAATAAGTGTTGTTCTTAGTTGACACTATACATGGTTGATATTCGTTTTTCCAAATGACTTATCCAAATTGTTTCTAGATTAACGATCCAAAAAACAACAGAATTTCATTGTCTCAAGTGATCAAGTGTCATCTACTTGTAGCACACAAGACAATCCTCACCTTAGTCATGAATGCAACACAGAGTAATTGCTATCAACTCCGTTTTAAGATACTGATGATCCAAATATGGTTACCTATTATCTAGAACCTAATTGTAGAAACTTGGACCCTAAATGTCAGAACGACTATGATCACAACAAATACTTATATATTACTGCATAAAGTAAATGGAATGGCAGTGGTTTCCCAAGCCACACTATTAAATCCTCTGTTATTTATTACAATAGAAAATTAAGTGTTATTGGATCAACTTAGTGAAGTCCTACAGTTTGAATATGCCAATTTGTTACGCTGTGGGAGAAGTGATGAACATAAGTTTCTGCTGCGAGCAACCAATAACATGATTTACAAGTGAAGCATCTTTAAGCTAGTAACAAGTCTCCTCATCCTCCACTAACTAAGCATGGGCTCCAAAGAAAGAACCATGATTTTGATCAACTCTCCAGGTGAAACAAAATTCATGTGCAGTTTCAAAACCGGGAAGGTACTTAATACCCCAAATTGTGTCATAACCAACATACCAAACATTTGGAGCAGAGTTTTCAGGCCCACAAATTTTATCCATTAGTTATAGCTATGAAATGAGATTATGAAAGGCTTTGACACAACAGAAGAGAGAGTTACATTACCGCATATGATTAGTGGGGCTAGAGTCATTCAAACAAGAAGCAGATGAGGCAGCTACTTGTGGAAAGAATTTGGACTTTGGAGGGACCTGTAAATAATAGCCATTGGAATTCAGTGAACTATTAGGTACCTGGCACCAACTCATGTTATATCTCTCACAATATTGACCAGTACTGATTAACGCATAACGATGATATGTTAGAATCCTCATTAGCTGCAAATGTATCATGCTTTACATGCTGTGGACTCTGTTAACTGTAATTAGCCTCAACCTACAACTGCACAGTGTAACCATAGTAGGAAAGGTCACGGACCCATTCCGGAACCTCGAACCCACGATTCCAGCTAGGGATCTTGGATGGAATGCTGATCCCAATATTGTGATCCTCATTCCCAGCAGGTTTGAACTGAGGTTCTCAACTGTATGATACATTTGCATATGATCTTTTCTCAATTCAGCACTTATCCAGGTTTGTACCCACACATCATTCATGATCCCTTAAAACTTCCTTTTGTGGTTCCTTCCTCATGGAATCGTGATTCTCTGTGACAAGGAACGCGCTCCCTTGATACAGAATCACACGGACAATGATCCTAACCACAAGGAGCTTCGAGCAATCCACAGTTCTGTGGACCTGAGCCAGCTCCTGCTCTTGGGAACGCATCTGCACCCAACAACTATGAGTGTGACCAACACATTGTATGAAAACATCTGGTAGTATTCTACTTCCACTACCATAGTCACAACTCCCATCATTTTATAAGATACACATGCTGCATCATGAAACTACTACTCACTTGTGAAACAAAGAAGGGCAGCCTGCTCGGTGCTTCCTCCTGAACAGAATTGTCGCCTTTTTTTCTCGACAAAAAGCACAATGCATAATCCCACACTCCACTGTTTCAAATCAAATAAGATTCTTCGAAAAATATGGTTCTTCTTGAACCATCAAGGATACAAAAATAAAAATGTTTTAATATCAAATCTCTAATGCACATTTGTGCCATTATGCACAAGAGTAATTCTATCATGGATGTATTTCAATCTTAATCACTACTGATCCAAGTTATGTAGAAAATCCACTACCCAATATGCAACAAATGAGATCCTAAATTGAATTGCCGATATTCACTGACTATATTCTTACAGTAACAACAGAGTAAGGGTATTTGGGTTTGAGGGAATGTGGTGCCCAGGAAAAAGCAAGTTTTCATGCCACTATACAAATTGGCAGTGTTTCATGGGAAAGTGGCTTCATACATTGCAAGGTATGAAGCCAATTTCAAAGAAATCTCTCACCGTGTGAGATTTCCTAAGGACCAAATGTGCCCCAAGGTTTTCTATTTTTCCAAATTTTCTTGTACTTGTTCAGAACTGATAGTCGGAAATATTCTAATACACTACAAGTTTGTAAGAGGAATCATAGTGACATAACCTAATGCTGTCACTTGTTGGGTTGTGCACTTCAAGGAAACCCTCATCCAGACTTAGTTTTGGGGTTGTTTTCAACGTGAAGCCTCCAGAAATATTTGCACCTTCTCAAACATTTGAGGATCATGGAAGGATTTAAACAACTGAATTTTCAGAGGAGCAAGGTCTGGAAGAGTAGAAGTGCAAGAATAAATCTTGTTGGTTTTCACTTCTTGGGAACAGTTTAATGGGAAAAAGATTTACTGTGCCATTATAGATTGGAGGACTTTAATTTAGTAGTGGAGCTTCTCAAGGTAGGATAATGGAAATATGGAGACATCCTACTAGCGAAATGATGAAACTCATATTCGACGGTAATTTCTTTGGGGATATGCAAAGTAGTAGATGCAAAAGGGCTAATTAGGCTTTTTGTAATAATGATTGGGTTTGTGGATTCAATGAGGTAGAGCCTAGGCTCATAAGTGCGATGAACAAACGACTAACTCCTTTTTTTTGCATTCAAAGAACCTTTGAAGCCAGCTTGTGTAGCAGATAAGGTAGGTTGAGCTGTGTGGCTTGGCGAAGAGTGAGAATGAAACCATGGGTAGCTTGGCAAACTTGGAGAAGAGTAGGGAGTTAAAAAGTTTTGGATTTTGTCGGGAATGAAAAGAGTGGTTGGTACAGTGTTGGCAGGCGGTAGGAAGGAAACTCTCAGTC